CTTAGGGTGAGAAAAGGTGGGGGTGATGGGACAAGGAAAGAAAGACGTGCAGTGGGTAATTAAAGCAGTTTAAAGTGGAGGCCCAGGGCAAAGGGAGGAACTGGACGCCTGAGAAGATCCCCTCGCGTTTTCACCTTGGGGCCCAGCCACACCTCTTCCTGTTCTCACCTTGGGGCCAGCCACACCTCCAGGCAGGAGAAAGGCTGGAGAGGTGCTGTGGGCACGATGGGCACACTTCAGGGTAGCATGCAAGTGACACCAAGTGGACCCCGAGGCGGAGGAACAGAAGCCAATCCATGCAGTCCTTCTGGGGCCAACCCATCTGCCTTGTGCCCCTGGCTTTTCTTTCAGCCACCACGGGCTAGCTCCTTAGAGAGGTCACCCCAACCAGAGGCTGGGAGCGGCTGGGCACGGTGAAGTGTAGGGATGTGAATATTATTAAGCCTTAGGTCAGGTCTCAAAGGGCCCTTTCAGAGCAATCTAGGGAGACCCTGAGTTTTACCCACAGCCAAATGTTAGTGAAAATAACTAATCCTGCAGGCTGCAAAGAGCTGGCTGGGCAAGGTAAAGCAAAGGCAATTTACTTTCCAAGGAGAGGGAGGCAGGGGCTGGGGGTTTATTTAGCTCAGTGGTTCTACCACCTGCCTTGCAAGTGCAAGGACCTGAGTTCGATCCCCGGTACCAAACAAACAAACAAAACTCTCTGCCTCATCCAAGGAGAGGGACGGTATATCAGCTTTGAGAAGAAATAATATGAAATTAATTTCCCAGACAAGGACTCGTGCTGGAAAGACAAAGTGCTCAAGTCCCCCCTCACTGAGATTTAACTTTGATTCATTTGAATGTGCAGCCAACACTCATGGTGTTAATGTCGCTGGTGTGGAAAGGTTCCAAGGGGACTCGCCAAGCCAGCACTGCGCCTGGCCGCTCTAGCCCTACAGAGATCCTCTTTCTTTGGAGAAAAAAAAAAGTAGTATAAGAAGAAGAAAACACAAGAAACCCACAAAAAAACACAACACACAGTTAACCACCTGTCAGGCCTGAGGATACAATGAGGCCCCTGCAAAAAGAGCTTTTCATGCATGCGTAATATATTTGTTCAGCTATTCACTTAATGAAGCTGATAAATGTGATGCAAGACAATAGTCAAGTTAATCTATTTAGTAAAATGTTTTGAGACTTTCAGGCTACGTTAAAGAGGGGACATTTTCATTTAAATGCGTTCATCTCCTCTCTTGGGCTGCACAAGGGGGTTCAGGCCATCTATGTGAATATAATTTCTTATAAATGTGTCTTTAATGGGTTTAATTCACCCTTGCCAGCTGTTTTGGGGGCTATTTTGTAAGAGCAAAACAAACGTTTCAGGCTTGGAAAGCTAGTTAAAATTAGTTTCGGTCAGCGAGGCCAAGCTATATTTCCTGCAAACCATCTGCTTGATTGGCACAATAGAAGGATTTTCAAGGAAAAAGAGGGGGGTGAGTGTGAAAGGGATGTGGGGTGAGGGGGGAGCGCTAGAAAGGGCTGGGGCAGCCGGTAGCTCCTTGTGGCCTATTCTAAAGGTGAGCCCCTTAGGGTTGTCTTAATAGCGAGGCCAGGCGGTAGGAAAGCTCTTTCAGCTGGCGCCCCGTCCTCTTCCTCGGCCTCGACGGTCAGCTCATCTTTGGGCCCCTCCCCGGGTCCCGAGGAGCCCGCTTGTACCCCGTGTGCCCGCCAACCTCGGCCGAGCGCGCTCGGACACCGCTGGTGGCTCCGGAGGCGAGCGCCAAAGCCTGGGTTTCTACTGCTTGCAGAGGGAGGCCTTAGCCTCTCAGCCATCCTGAAAGGGACACTTGCCACCCTTTCCTGTATCCCGCTGCACCACCCTCCCTGTGCCCAGTTTAGTAACCCGCGCTTCCCGGAGCCGGGTGGGTTGTTCCCCGCTGTGGCTGTAGCAGAGCGCCCTCTTTCCACTGCCTGGGGGAAAGGAACCCTCGGACCGGTGCTGAGTCCTTCCTGCCGCCCCAATGAACCCGAAGTTATTTCTGCAAATTCAGGCTTCCTTCCGATCCCCAGAGCGTGGCCAAGCGCCCTGAGGATGGCTGAGGACTCGAGCGTCTTTAGCCGCCGATCTGGCTCTTGTAGGGCCAGGATTCGCGGCCTCCGTGCCCGGGCCTTCCGCAGCACAGCAGGGACTCAATTCCAGACTAAGGCCTCCCGTTCTCTTTTTTCCTGCCCATATCCTTTTCCCTTTAAAGAGAAATAGCCCAGGAGGCGAGCGATTCCTCCGAAATAAACTTGAAGATAACGACATTACCACGACTGGTAGGACTCAGGGAACCCGGGGGCCGGGCCAAGCGGCATTAGTCACAGGTCTTAGTGCGGCCGCCAGCCAAGCGGCCCCCGGGGCTAGCGCGGAGTTCAAGGAGGCCACTTAAAGTAAGATCCTTTCGTCCGATTTCTTCCTTCCTCAGGATTTATTTTTGCCTTTGCAGGGGCACCTCCCCCTCCCGCATCCCCCAATTTTCTTCTTCGGTGCTCGAGGAATTCTTGGGAGGGGGGGAGCGGAGACGCCTGCGGGAAGCGGGGTCCACGTGAATCGCAGCAAGGAGTTGACCCACCTTCCAGAAAAATGCCAGGGCCTCCTTTGAAACGCAGAGAAGGTAGCAGCCGTTACTCCGCGGTGGGGCTGTGGCTGGGTGGGTGGAGGGGCGGGTAACGTGTCCGCCCAGCAGGAGGGATGAGAGCCGTAGAAGCTTAGCCCGCACCAAGGCCCAGAGGGAAAGGGGGTGCGGGGAAGGCCCCGCCCCCACAAACCTCAAAGACTTTGCTGCGAACTGGGCCCAGACGTCTGGAACTGGAGCGAGCACCTAGGCAAGGGTAGGGACTTGGTCACCTTAGCCACCCACGTCCCCTTCCTGGGACTCGCAGGCTTCCGGGTTTCCAGACCGCCAGGAAATAGACGGGAGGCTGCGGGGGACAGCACCGGGAGGGAGACACCGGAAGGTAGGGGAAGCCAGGTGTGGAAGAGAGCCGATCCTGGGGCTTGGAACTAGACCCGGGTTAAACTTTCTCACCTATTTTATTGCAAAACTTGAAGAAGAAAAACTTTTGAAGTCCGGCGGCAGACCTCCCTCTTCTGTTCCCAGGGCCCCCCAATTAACTCTAGCTTCACAGTCCCCCGTTTAAAGGGCCACTTCCTCCGAGGTCGTTCCTTTTCTGATTGGCTTTCACTCCTGCCCTGCCTGCCGGCCGGGACTCCTGGAGCAGACTTGGGCTCAGAAACTCCTCACTTGCTTCACCTCCCAGCATTAATTCGCCTCCAGAGCCGCATCCTAAATAACTTTTTAATTTGAATCAAGGGAGAGCTTTAGCGCGCTCAGTTTCTGGTTTAATGTGATATAAATCGCAGATGCACTTTGATTGAATGGTTAAAGCAGCGACATGGAGATCATCAACACAAAACGCCCTGAACAAAACCATCGAGAGAAATAAAGCTAGTTAATAAGATTTTTGAGAAAGCTTTGTGTTAAAAAGCAAAAAGGAAAACCAGCTGAAGGTGACAGTTAGTTCATGGTTAATAGGATCAGGGCGGCCTGGCAGGGCTGCACACTTCTCTTGGGGGAGGTTCAGCCACACGAAAGAAATGAATGGGACATTTAACACATCTGTTATCTGGGCGAGCAGTGCGACGGGATGGAAACTCAGCGTCACTGCAGTCCCAACTGAGAGGACAGCGAAGGGATTGTCTCAGAGCAGCCTCTTGGGCAGTGCATCAGATTTAGGAGAGGCTTTCCTGGTGCACACCCCCGTTCTTGGGAAGCTTGTCCTTTGCTCTGTATTCATTCATTGCTATGAGAAAGCTGCAAAACTTTGGCCAAGTTATGTGCCCCATAATAGGAAGGGTCATGAGTTTCAACTCAAAGGCCTGGAGCTCCCAGAGGTTGGAAAAAGGCTGGAGAGTCGTCGCCGCAGGCACTGAGTCATCTTGCCAGTGCTAGCTTGTGTGCCCAGGGGCAGCCCCCACCTCAGCTCTTACCCCAAGAGAGCCATGTGCACTCCTGGCAGGGACCACCAGAGAAACCGTGCTGGACCCCGTTTGCCAAGGTGCCAGGAGTTTGCAGGTACCCACCAACTCGGACCCTGGACCAGTCTTCCCAATGGGATAACCCAAATCCAGAGCACCCCAGGCCATGGCGTCACACCGAGCTGCCCCAAACATTCATTTGCGAACCTCCCAGGGCCTAGGCTGGGACAGGAGAGACGAACTTCTAACTTTAATTTAGAGCAGCCTTCACATCTGTTTGAGGCTTCAGCAGGAGGGGCAGACAGGGCTAGACACCGCAGAGGGAGAGTATTTTCATGATGGGGGACTTGAAATTTTCCACACCCTCCCTTCAAGGGGAGAGCTGTTTTAGGGATAGCCCGGGAGATGTATTTCTATGAATATTTATTGATTGATTTTCCAGGCTCAGCGGGGGAGCTGCAAATAAATTTAGTGCGTCCTTTAAATAATTCCTTTTCTATGAGGCAAGATGTCATCTGAAACTTCTAAATAGGCATTTAATTAGCCCGGGTGTTGCTTCGGAACAAAAAAACCCCCGACAAGAGCTTTGGGGGCGCACAGTATTGCAAAGAGGCGGTCGATATGCAGAACTGACGCGCGAGGGCCTTTGTTGGCGGCCCATTGTGCGGGCCATGCTTATGAAGACTAATCCAATCATAAATTGCACCTCTGCGCCAATCAGAAGGCCGGAGCCTCCGGCGAATGAAGCTCGAGTGGAGAACTTTGTTGGACTTCATTGTCAGAGCTGTCACTTTTCAAAGCGCTGTAGCGGGCGGGCCGTTATAAAACCATCACCTCAGCCGGTCCGAGGACCTCGGAGGAGTCGCGGGCGCCCAAGAGGGACCCTTACTTGGAGACGTTTGCCAAGTCCGGGAGGAGGACACCGGGAGGGCCGGGAAGAGAGGCCTCATCCTCCGGCCGCGGGAAGGAGGGTTCTGTCGCCCGCCCCGCTCCTACCATGATGTTCCCCGGGCTCCTGGCGGCACCCGCGGGGTACCCGAGCCTCCTGCGGCCCACGCCCACCTTGACGCTGCCCCAGTCCCTGCAGTCCGCATTTTCCGGCCCCTCGAGCTTCCTCGTGGAGGATCTGATCCGCATCGGCCGGCCCCCCACTTACCTGCCCCGC